GATTGAGGGTCGTGAGGGTCAGGTTAAGGGCCATAAGGGTCACAAGAGTCAGAATAAGGATTATGGGGTTCATATGGGAGTTGGTGAGCGGAACGAGCAGGGGGCGTGGCCCCCTAATAATATACTATTATTTGAGTATTCCTCGTTATTTAATGGAAATTCCAAACTTCTAATTTCTAGAAAAATGAAAGAAGTTTCTTCCGAGTTCATTTATAAAGCACTGAAAGATTAACTTCATTCCATTTATTAATTCTCATTAATTTCTCAACGAGTTCCCTTCACTAGACCTTATCCTGGCAGATCTGACTCTATTCTTTTAATTGTAACGCGGAATGATTTTCACTCTATCGCGGTAACCCTCATTATTTTCCATTGAATACAAAAAGAATTGAATACTTCAAATAATACTTCTTCATTCGACTCTAGATTTCTTTCTATCTTCACTCTCGACGAATGTATTATCCTTGATAGCATTAGATGGAATAAGTTGAATCTATTGACTTTTTGTTATCAGACATATTCCTGGTACTCGAAGGTATGTCACGTTGCATCGAATCACACAGTTGGTATATCGTTGAAAAAAGAACTTTTATTTGATTCATGTATGATTCCACGATACTGGTATTTGATGCATATGCCAATATTGGAGATATTTGAACAATGGCAGAGATGGAGAGGGGGAGGGAAGACGAGAGAGAATGGAACAATTTCGAATGGATCAATTTTTCTCGCGACATTTTTCTATTCCGTGACTTCGCCCTCATATCTTGATAGGACAAAAATCCTCGTACCTTTAATCTTCTATTTTAGTTTTTTCCCATTTACATTAAATAATGCAGGTGTAAGGGTTTATGGGGACAGCATTTCCATAAATTGCAGGAAGAAATAACTTTTTCTACATTTTGCCGTTTTTCTGTTCTTTTTATGGTTTGAGTTTTGTTCTATTTGTTTGGAAGACACGAGGAAAATTACATAGCCATCACAGACGGGTTTCATGAGGAGTTACTCCGTGAGGGTGATGTAAACTGGGAGCGAGACACCCGAGTGGAAATTCAAATTAAGCTGGAATAAAAGATTGATCAGTAAAAACTGTTTTTGGTCATTTCGGCCGCAAGGCAGGGCTTCACGGACACTACGCGTCCCTGCCTACGGTCGTCGTGATAAAAAATATTGTTTGTGATTTGATTGTATAAACCTTTTCTAACTCACATAATTGCAAAATCATATTCGCCAAAAGATGAGTTTCTTTTGGTTTAGTGATGAAAAATACTAATATTAATCAGTTGTCCATCAGATATGTGAAATACTGAAAAAATCCTTATTTTGACATTTCAAAAACTTGAATTGAAGCTTTCGAAAGGATTAAATAGAATTTTTCAAGTCTTAATTTGAGAATTCAATTTGAAGTTCTAATTTGAAAACTGAAAATATCAATTGGAGCCTTCTGAAAGTCGTCACTTGAGACTTTCAAATCTCAACTTGAGATTCAAACGTCTCAAATTGAGACTTTCAGAGGGTTTATATTGAGCTTTTCAAGTCTTCACTTGAAAAGCTCAATATAAACTTTCAGCTCAATATAAACTTGAGCTTTCAAGTGAGACTTTTAGAAGTCTCCTTGAGATATTTGAAAGTCTTAACTTGAGACTTCACAAGTCGAGAGTTTCAGAACTCAATTTAAGATTTGTGAAAATCTCCGTTTAACACTTCCATAAGTCTCAGTTTGAGACTGCTATAAGTCTGAATTTGAGATCGCATTTAAGTCTCCAATTTACGTGTTTTTTTTTTTGGGTGTAATCCTTATTTATATTTTATACTCGAATCAAGAATAATATACTTGGATCAAATATATAATATACTCGAAAATATACTGGAAAATATACTTGATTCAAGTATATTTTCAAGTATATTCCATTCACGTATGTTTTTTTCCGTGATGAAATAACATGGAGATAATTTTTGTCATTCCATTTCACCTTGACTATAGAGAGAAAGAACTCAATTCAAATATTCAAATAATTCTCAATTCTAGAATTCCCCAGTGTCTCTGAAACATATCTCTGACGTTCCATACAAAATACTAAGAAAGAAGGATGCAATTAGGAATTTTTCCCAGTACCTCCACTCGGTATTTACTTGATTCCGAGGGCCTGTGTAACGAGAGACAATCGGTGGCCACAATAAAGACGTTGGACGTGGAGACTGGAGGTATGTACGGGCCACTGCGTTGTGTCCCTCTCAACAGAGAGGAGTATAGTATGAAAGAAGGAGAGTCGCGCGACTACCGGACGAGCGTCGGAGACGTAATCTGGCAAGTTCCAGGAAACCAATCTTCTCTGATGAAAATACCGTCTCTTGTCTGAGGCGGGCTAACGCAACCACAACCTTTTTTGTTTGCTTTTTTTACCCTTTCATTTGGAATACCGCCGCTGTGTTTGACCTTTGTGGAGTTTTGATAATGGCTATTTCATATCAACACAAACTTATCATCGAAATTGAATTGAAAGAGTAGCTTTATTGGGAGAATGAAATTATTTTTCATTGATCGACGTTTTTCACATAATTAACTACTGAATCATATTTAGCGAATTAATCCATCTGTCGATTTATGAAATCATTTGAAAATCTGTTCATTTTATGAATTTTTTCGAAAATTAATTCCTTTGAGAATTCAGTTTTCAAGAATTTTGTTGGCTTCCGAATTGAGAAATAAATTTTCTTGAATTTAAACACGAAATCTTTATTGTAAGACTAAATACAAGTACAATTTGAGATGTTTTTAATATCTTGCTGAATAGATATTACTCGTTAGACTGTTCGAATAATTATGATTAAGGTGTTTCGTGTGTAGATCACTGAAGGGGGGGGGGGGTGAAATGGAAGGGGAGTGTAATTCTCCTCGAGCCCTGATTCAATCGCTGAGCATCAAATTTTCCAATTTCCAAGTAACTATTTAAGTGTTCATTTGAACACTTTTTGTATATTGATTTTATTTATCAGATTAATTGATTTTTTTCTCAACACCTACGGGTGTCAAATAATTTTAATTGAATGTTTTTCTAATTATTGAAATAATATTAATATGCACCGACGTCGGTGGCCGAGTGGATTAGACACAAGTCTAGTGTGCGAAAGGTTGTGAGTTCGATTCCCCGTGGAACCGAATTTTTCAACGGAAGGCTCCGGCGAGCGGGAGGTTGCTAATAGAGGAACCGCCTGTACCGGCATGGGTTTTCTGTGGTTTCCCCATGCTACTTCTATGTTCTATAGAAGTGCGAATGCGGTACAGTGTAGAATCCACAGCCGCATGCATAGGGTTGGATAGAGTGCCGAATGGGACCCGAAAAAGGGACTCCGAGGCCGCAAAAAAAAAATATTAAAATGTGTCTCGAGTTGGTAAACCTGTCGAGTCTTTTCTCTCTCTCTCAGTTCTATGGTCCAACCCATACTTTTCCCATGATGCTCACTGACATTCGAATCGCGCGCCTGCGCGTGAATGCGTAATTTCCCCGAAGCTCGTAATTTTCCGAATCATTTGTTCAAATAACTTTCTTATGAAATCTGAAGAAAATCTGAAATTTATCCATATTCTTACGAAAGATTTGATGTATCACCCACTAGTTTTTTCTCAATAGTCCATTATTTTTTTGGGTGCCGTGGAAATTTCCCTAATTGAGAGCGGGGTAACGTCAGAGGTTATAGCTGAACGGGTTATAAAAACATCCAAATTTCATTTTTTTTTCTTGAGGCTGAGATCAGAAAAAAATGTGCAAGAATTCTAAATGATGCAGCATACTCAGGAATTTCTCTCATGAATTTTCCAATTTTTTTTCATTATTTTGACTTTTTACACGAAAGACCGTAAGTTGGAGTACAGAGAATTTTCAGTTAAAATCCTCTGAGGGTGAATAGTAGGGGTTGGAATGACTGGAGGGAGAAGGGCCCAAGCTAGTTGATTGGGTAATTGAGGCAAGGGATGAGGCTTGAGAGCCTTGAAAGCTGGAAAGGTAAGGGAAAGGTACCGCGTAACCGGGAGGTAAGGGGAAGGTAGGTATTTTTCCCTTACCTCCCCCCCCCCCTTTCACTGGAGAGGGTTTACAGTAAAAGCTATTAGGAAAGTGAAGGATTGGGTGCCCCAGGTACTGAAGGCAATTAAACGATTCCAATGGATTTGGGACTGAAGGATAATAAAACGATTTGGGTCTCGGAGTTTTCGGAACTCATAAAACCGTAATAAAATATTTTTGCATGAAAGGATCTTCGGAATGGAAATATTCGGTGGACGCTTGGAGAGAGGCCCAAGATTTTCAGAAAGTATTTCTAGGAAAGAGTGGGTATGCATCAATTTTCAACAGTTTTGGATTCCGGATTGAAAGAAATAACTCACTTCAGCTTAAAACGTTAACCAATTTAGACCTTAATTGGTCTTCTAGAATTTCCGTTCTACTGCACAATCATAGCAATAGCGCCCCATATTTCAACATCAATCTTCAAAACCATATTTTACTGAAGAAATTGAGACGTTATTAAAAAAATGGCTTCACACACTTAACATATGTCTGAAGCCAAACGGTTCATCATCTTGTCAATGTCCGCCGGAGTTTCCCTGTCTCCCCACTAATACCGCCGAAAAGACACGATTTCGCAGTTCCTAAATTCAGAACTATTATTTCCAATTGAGGACCATTTTTTCCATGTTCATTCATCCGCACGAAAAGTTTGACTTCTCCAGCAAAAAGTACTCGCGTGCGAGTGAACGAACATAACGAAACCGAGCCGTCAAAGTTGGCTTCTACTTATCCCTCAGCGCCCAGCGAAAAATCGAACTTGCAGTTTACCTAGTTTCAAATTTACTCTTGTTGACTCTCACCCCCTTTTACCCCTTCCATAATCCTTATTTACTCGAAATTTTCAACCCAGAACACGACTGATTAAAATCCACCTTTCAGCATGCTACCATTCAGGAGTCTAGGTTCTTGTGGGATCTGAATTTAATTACTTACCAACAACTGATAGATTGTAGCGAATACTCCGGGATTGGCCCTGGCGGAAGTCTACCCGGCATCTATAGATTGCGGCGTCGTGACGTTTAACGTTGTCGACGACTAGTACTGCTGTCCGAGTCATTGTGGTTCTGAAGAAAGCTCGAGGACCGAAGACACCGGTATCGGAGGAATGTTGAGCGTCGTTCAGTGCTTTGTTTCTAACGTCCACTCTGAAACAATAAGAAAATGTTTGATGTCAACTTTTTCATGTCATGGATATTACATTAAGTAATGAGATAACTAGCGATGTTGATATAATATTGAGGGGAGAAGGCTTTTCTTTCGCAATATTAGGCCAACACTGATAGACTGATTCATTTATTCCAAACGAGATTCGTTAACTATTAACGAATGGTTCACTTAAACAGTGAAAATCGAGTCAAACAAGCCTTCTCAAATATGCATTTGTTAACTATTAACGAATGGTTCACTTAAACAGTGAAAATCGAGTCAAACAAGCCTTCTCAAATATGCATTTGTTAACTATTAACGAATGGTTCACTTAAACAGTGAAAATCGAGTCAAACAAGCCTTCTCAAATATGCATTTGTTAACTATTAACGAATGAACATTTGGTGGGATTGAATAGACCCTCGTCTCCAACCAAATCCATTCGTTAACAATAACTAATACTTTCTATCAGTGAAGTTTAACAAAAAAAATTTGAGTATCGAGTTGAGGCATTGGACTTGAAACGGGCTGGTCTGAACCATTTGGAGAATCGACTTATTTCGGTCCGAATGAAGTCTCATTTCAGTAGTGAAGCGGTAAACCGAGTCAAGTCGATTTTGACTATTAGCTAGTTTTTGCTGAATATCTCGGAATCTAAGAGAGATAGCAAAATTTTTCTTATGACTTTTTTTATAACGCTCTATTGGCTCTACAAAAAAGGTTATGACAAAAATCTTTCTATCTCTTTCAGATTCCGAGATATTCGTCAAAAACTAGCCAATAGTAAAAATCGACTTAACCCGGTTTACAGCTTCACTACTGATTTAAAAAATAGTGACTGGATTCAGTTGGGACCGATTCAATTTATGTAGATTCAGCGTCTCGATTCAATTCGATATGAATCGTGTATCAATCTGCCTTAAATCAAGTATCAGTTCGATTTCTACGACGCAGCTAATGGCTTGAGACGTTTCTTCTTTAAATAAACCAATTTTCGGCTTACAGAAAGCCCAAAATTCGGATTGATGGAGTAACAGTCACACTATTTTAAATAAGTCAAAACTAGCGTAACAGGACTTTGCAGTACCGCCATCTAGAGGTGACGCAAGGTCAATAAACGATAGTTACTGGTTAGGATTAGCATAAAGATGGCACTGAGAGTGCTCGGGCCTCCCCACTTCTCGAGGTTTCCCCACCATTTTTCGGAAAAGGTATAAAAGATAAAACAGAGTGGTGGAGAGTATCAGTCATCAATCTTCGCAGCGGTCAGATAAAAGGTTGGCAGAGCAAGAAACCTAGGGAAGCCTAAGGACTAGGACTAAGACTAGGGACTAAGAAGTATAACCCTAACACGTTGACTAGTGCCGCATCAATTAAAGATGATAGTTTACCATCTATAATTTTCCAAAGGATATAACTACGGATACTGAGAATAACGAAGTAGTGTCTATTAAATAATCCATTAAATCTTTATAAAATAATTTTTCTGTTTAATTTATCTGTGCTCTTCCATGTTGATGAAATAAATGAATGTGTTATTCAAATCCGGAACAGATAAATTCAATTTCACCTGTACTAATTAAATAGATAGATAAATCCGCCCCTTTTTATTGAATTTATCTGTTACAATAATTCGTACATTGATAGAATGATTTATTCATAGTAAACAAAGTTAACTATTAACAAATGTTAGAGTCGAAAGTGGCCAAATGATTATTTCTTAATAGTTAACCAATGATTCAGTTGACAGAAATGATTGAGACGAATCCAACATTTGTTAATGAATAACAAATCATGAGTTGTCGCGATGGAACTTTCCGTTAATTGTTTATTAAGAAATAGACCTTGCAGCACTTGAACGAATAGGTTTGTCAACTATAAATGAATCCTTCTATCGGTATAAACAGATATTATTGGGCAATGCTATCGCCTCGCGTGACCGGTCAATATTCCCATTTCACTCCCAAAATCAAGTCGAGAACTACTTGAATCAATACCTTTTTCCTTGGGCGCAACGACCAAACAGGCCTCAGATTATATCCAGCGTTATCTAGCTGAATTTTTCATGAGAATCTACTGAATTGTTACTTCAATATTATGGATATTACTTTGGGCATTGACGAGGTCGTGAAGGGCTCGATAAGGAAATGCATATTTCTCAGGCGTAAAATCCTCGCTCCAAGAATTCTGGCCTGATCCCCACTATATCCATATGTATATAGTCGTATTCTATATAAACAGACACAAAAGGTAAATATGAAATCGATGTCTGTTTTATGAATCGTTTTATCTCTCGGCACAGCGCGCTTACCAATATTTCACGCGATTCCCTCTCGGCCCACACTCTCCCCTCGTAAAAATGATACACGTTCACGGCCAAAGGGGTAAATAACAACCGAATAAATGTATAACCCCTTGTGCCAATACCCCGTGTCCCATCACCAACTAGGCCAGCGGAGATAGCCACGTTTTCTTCCCAAACATTTTCCTCATCCACCTATTTTTTTGGACTATCGAGCTTTTGTTCAGCTCCACAACTTTCTTTTTTCTTTATGATCGCCTTCAGGGGATGTACACGCTGGTACTAAAAATTTGAGTAGAGGTGGCTTATCATTATTTACGGTTTCCATTTTTGCGACAAATTTTTATCGAAAGATTTGAGTGATAAACTTTATTGGAGACTTCCTGAAATGGAAAAACTCGGGATTAATGGACCAATTTTTATAGGGGGATATTTTTTTTCAATTTTTGGAATAAGTCAAACGAGAGCAAATTGTGTGGGTCAGTAGGGCAAGAGTAAGCCTTGTGAATACAGCCAGTTCAATACAATGTATTCACATAATCGACTCAAAGAAATGCTCCTGTGGCCACTCCAATGAAGACCTTAACCATGTTTTCTTCGAGTGCTCCAGATTCGACGATCAAAGGAAAAAAACTACTGGAAAAATTGAAGAATTGGAACGAATTTCTAGTTCACGTCAGTCCAATTCTTATCTGTTTAGACCCGAGAGGATTGACAGCACTGATAGTCTTCTTGAAAGAGTGTGATCTACATACAGGGTGACGTGAACACCTTGTTTACAAATTGTGAGGAAATATAGAATAAAAAATCAGTAATTCAATGGCATAAGAATTATGGAATTACGACAATAAATTTTTGAATAGTGAGCGTTTGAATTTTTCAATTACCAAATAGCATCATAGTAATCTACCGCCATGCCGCCATGATTGAAAATGGCGATGGTATCACAATTATGGTGATATTTACTGCGATGATTTTGCGCGCGATATTGGAGCGCCATTCTGTGCGATAGTTCGAGCAATGTTCATTGCAGCCATGAACCGATAATTTTATCAACATGAAGAGCGATATTAACTATCATATCAAGTCCTATTGCCAAATGTGTCATCGTTTCCAATCATGGCGGTAGTCAATCGCAATGTAATTGGCTGAAGTATTGAAAAATTCTAATGTTCGCCATTTGAAAGTCCATTATGGGAATTTAGTAATTTTTATGCCATTGAATTCCCGACTTTGATGTGGATACGCCTATGGTTTCAATATGGGGGGTCATTTTCAAGAAAATTCTAGACATTTCGAGGAAATTCAGGGAGTTTCTAGAAAATTCGAGCGACTGCAATTAGTTTCTAGGAAATTCGAGAAAGAAGGAAAGACCATGAACGTATCCACCTACAATTACCGCTGTATCGAAGATGCAGCCGCCTGCAATTTTTTCTATTCTATATCGATCGGAAATTTGTAAACAAGGTGCTGACGTCACCCTGTATATGATTATCATTGTTCTATAATTTAGTATGTGAAGATAAAATGCAGATGTATTTGCAAATGAACCCGGCATAGAATCTTTAAAGCATCAATAAAAAAAAACCAATGAAATGGCGTTATGTTCTCTAAAATGGATCCCCATGTCCGAGGAAAGCCAACAATCATGATGATACGATAAATGAGATTCAATAATTCGCGTATAATAATGGACCGCGTACCTCGAAATGACCACATAGATCGAGGTGTGGGAGTGGTAGCGGCATAATGCGGCAAAATTCGCTTGCTACAGTAACCAACGTGTGTTAATATTTAGGGTTAGTGCCTTTAAACACGCAAACTACGAAGTGCATCACGCACTCCATCTTCTCCGACCATGCAAAACCGTCTTTCTGATAACTGTTTAGAATTAGGAGGGACACACTTAACTCGTGACACAGATATCAGTATTGTTTACTTGTCTCAATCCCTTAAAACAATAAGAACAAAAAAAGGAAAATTATCGTCACCGTATGTAAAACAAACGATCGATGATCTCTGTGAAACAAACATTGGCCTCAGTTCTTCTACATGAGTCGCGTTTTCATGGATTTTAGTCGTTTAATTTGAGAGATATTAATTATCAAAGTTGTGCAGTTATTGCTTGGGAATATGACGAAACCTCAAAAGTTTCAGCGGTAATTTGCTCTTCACGTAGAAACTAGTTCCTTGAGTGAATACATAAAAGTGATCGCATAATTCATGAACTCGAAAATAAAGCGGAATTTGAAGTTGTACCAAAGTCGGTGGCCGAGTTGGCTAGACGCAAGTCTAGTGTGCGAAAGATTGTGAGTTCGATCTCAAGTGGAACCGAATTTTTTAACGGAAGGCTCTGGCGAGCGAGAGGTTGTTAACAGAGTAACCGCCTGTACACTGTTAGAAATTTTTTGAAATTTAAGGATAATCGGGCGAGGAGGAAATGTAGGAGGTGAGAGGAAGGGGTTCCTATTGTTTTCCTGCAGACAACCAATCGCTGAACAAATAAATTTTTCCTATTCGGATTCAAAATTTAGGCAATATTAGGGAGTATCTCCGGATAAAAATTATTTTTGGAGCTAATCAAATTTATTTGTATCTGTTCTACGCATTGAATGGTTATCAGATCGTTTTTTTTTATAAATGAAAAAATATTAATCTATGCGAAAAAGTGGCAACATCGTCGGTAGTTTTTTTTCC